AGGTACATGAGGTTTAATGTGCCTCTATACAGTTTGTGGCAGTTCATACTTCAGTTTGGACAAACGCATGTGCATATGTTGCATTCGAACTACCAGTGAAAATGGATAATGCCAACCCATGCACATAGGTATACCGAATGAATTCGACGAGAATGCTCATACATCGTTTGTACGGCCAACGTAGTGCAGAGAAGCGGATCTCTGGCAAACCGAAAAGAACTACCAAGACATGAACAAGGTGAATTTATAACGAACTAATGTTGACTTCAGGTGTTGGGAATTAAAGGCAGAGTTGATCGGTGCGAATTCCGTGGGCTGATGAACAGGGCGGTTACCCGGGTGCAGGAGAAGGCACTATTGCACGCGGAGCAGATGCGCGATGCGTCCGTTCCCATTCGAGTTATCAATCCAAACCAATAAGGCGGCGGCTGTGGTACGTTTGCCCGCGTGATGAGTATGCTTGCATTTTAGGAATTAAATGTTGCTTGAGCTCCTCGGTGTGACTGCGCCTGATGCGAATATTGACAGGGTGCCTACCTGCCTACTACCCACAGCCTCGTCCATACTGGCTCCAGGAGACAGTTGGCCGGTGCTGGAGGGGACACAATGCACCGTCCTTGTGACGGTGATAGGTTCCAAGAGTAATTTCATGCATCCTGTGTGGAACGGCATACGGCTCAGCCACCACCCTGTGTACGACTAGAGCGCATGAGTTCCCAATTAGGCAGAAACGCTTCTGTTCTGTCTTTTGAAGGAGCGTGGACCGGCTCCGTTGATGAAACGTGGCCCTCATTCACATGTCTTCCGGTCTTATTACTTCGGGTTTACACCGGATATGGGGCGTGTGGGTGGAACTGTGGGTGGTGCAGCACAAGCCACTCATGGTCCCTCTGTAGGCGTAGACGTCCTGTGGGTATCCCCGTGAGGGTTACAGTGACAGGTAAATTCGGACACGGATGCCGCCAATCCAAAATGTCGCAGGGAGTCGCTACAATCCAGGCGACAGGTCCATGTTCAACCAAGCGGATGTCAGTTCATCCGTTTCCTTTTGGAGTCCTCGCGTCTCGCCAAGACTGGCATGCCTCAACGTGCGCACTTTGCTGCAGATTGGCCAACAGGCAGCACTTGCCCGCACACTAGAGACCTTATCGATCGATATTTGCTGTTTAGCAGAAACTCGCATGCAAGATTCGAGCTCCGTGTTTACCCTGCGGTCTCCCACATGCGACACATCCTCACTGCGCATGCCTGGCAATGGTATAGCTTTAAATGCAGGTCAAGTTGGCGTCGGTGTTGGTTGTGTCCCCGGGCTGAAGCTGCCCTGATCGATTGGATCCCAGTCAAAAGTCGGATGTGCGGCGTTAGATTAGCTGGTTCGTTCTATGCTACGAAGTCACGCAGAAACAAACGGCGCCTGTTTATCACTGCGGCCTATGACCTACAAATTGTAGCACTGAATCGGTGAAAGATGATTTCTATCAACAACTTCACGGTCCCTGTCGTTACAGAAGTAGCACGGATACGGTGGTGTTGGCTGGCGATCTAAACGTCCAAGTTGGAAAATAGTTCTCTGAGGAGCTTCACCTGGGCGGCCAACATGGTTTAGGCTCCCGTAATGATAACAATGAGCAGTTGCTACACCTGTGTGAAGGTTTTCGTCTCCTCGTGAGCACTAACTTTCAACATAGCACCAGCAGGAGAGTGACTTGACGCCCACCAGCTTCGGACCAGCCAAGGACGCCAATCGATCACATCGCGATTAGTTACCGCTGGAGAGGCTGTGCAAAACTGTCGCTCGATTTGGAGCACGAGCGTGGACTCTGACCACGCACTTGTCTGCGCCGACCTCCGGGTGTATTTCGGTGGACTGCCACAACGTCGATGTGAACGGATTGACACCAGTCAGCTGGCGAAGCCAGGTGTTCTGAACGTGTACCAAAGTGCGCTGACAACCGAGCTGAGTAAGCGCCCACTGAACACCGTCGATGATCACTGGTCGCATAGTTGCCAAACGTTACTATTAGCAGCCATGTCTTCATGTGGCAAAACAGATGACAAAACTGGACATTAGGTTTTTATACAGCCTCTAGAACATCGATGCTCGACGGCATATTCCGGCTGGAAGCGAACACAATGTAACTCAGGGCAAAACTGCGTGCTAGCCAGAAGAAAGACTGCGAAGCCTGGTGGTCTCATCATGCCTCGGAGATGGAAACAGCCGCAACCGTTGGTAACCATTGTAAGTTATTCCGTCTGATACGTGAAAGAGGCAGCAGGAGACCTGGTGTTAGACGAGAGTGGGCACCCGATTCGCAACATGTCAAAACACTTGGAGCGTTGGGCTGAACACTTTGCAAGGCAATTCAACCAACCTGAGTTATCGCTTCCTTTTTCGGGCATTAAGCGCGTTTCTCCCTGGGCCGCCTCCTTGGATCCACCTTCACGCGCAGAAGTCGAACGTGAGATCAGGTTGTTGAAATTGCGTGAGGCCGCAGGGGCAGTAAGAATTCCCCCAGTCTTCTTCAAATTCGAAGGACGTGTTTTAGTAGATCATTTACACGAGTTGCTAATGAAACTTTGGGAGTAGGAGACTGTCCCGACAGACTGGAGGCGCTCCGCCATTGTCCCAATTTTCAAGGGAGGCTCCCGTTCGGAATGCGGTAATCATAGAGGGATCAGTCTGACCTCATTGCCTCTAAATGGATTGTGTCTGTCATTCTTCACAGACTGACTGGCACCCGAGAGAGCCAGATTCATGAAAAGCAAGCAGGGTTTCGTTGAAATCGTGGCTGCATCGACTACATCTTCACCTTGCATCCAATGTTGGAGCAGCGCCATGTTTGTTGGCGAGCACCCGTTGTCATGTTTCGTAACATAAAAGGTGCCTTCGACCCAGTCAATCGATGTGCCATTTGGGACTGCCTACTGAAGAAAGGTGTGCCTGATAAACAAGTAAACTATCAAAGCGCTGTACGTGCACAGTTCAGGCAAAGTTAGGGTTTATGGCAAACTGTCGTCACTCTTCAGTATCACTGGCTGTCTATCGTTTTGGACTGTTTTGCTTCATCGTAATGCAAAGTACTTCTCCAAGATTGGCAAAGACTCATCCCTGCGTTAACGCATCGTGATGATCAGCTATGTCGTTCAGGAATTAAAGTATCTGGGCAGCTATAGTAGCGCCCGTGGGATCGAAGATGAGGTTAAGAACCGCAAAGCAAAACCGCGAGATGTTTTTGCCAACCTCCGCCACCTGTGGCGCAAACGCGACATTACTCTCGCCCTGAAGGGCAGAGTTTATAACGCAGCCGTCCGTTCAACTCTCCTATATGGTTGTGAAACCTGGCCCATCAGATCGAGAGACATAAGGAGGCTCGTCACATTCGATTATCCCTGCCCTCGCAGCTTAGCTCATGTCTGGTGGGAGCACCGCGTGAGCAATGAGCATGTTCGGCGTCGCGTATTTGGTGCAGGAAGAGCGAGTGAATTGCTCAGCAACTATATCACGCACCAGACTCCGATGACTGGGCCACGTGTTGCGCATGCCAGCACACTGACTGCCCGCGACGTGCATTGTTTGCGCGCCGGGGGTGGTTGAACAAGGAGGAGGAGAGGCCAAGTAATGACTTGGTCGAGAGAAATGAAAACCCTCACGTCGAAGTTGGCTTTGGTTGGTGCATTTCGCCTGCCTGGCTGGGATCCTAAGGACGATGAACATGTTTGGTTGGACACACTTGCTGATATGGCTAGGTGCCGGTCCCAATGGCGTTTGTGTTGTGAGTTCCTTTGTTCATTCCCCTGCTTAGCCTCCCCTCCAATCACGACCTCATTCGTTAAGCATAATATAACTCTTTTTGCGGCACGATAGAAGGCTGTTAGCTAGCCGGAATGATGTCCACCCGTTACTGGGAACTCAGCCGGTGTATCGCTGTTGTTTTGCTTCTTATCTTTTGTATTGCGGCACAATAGCAGAGTTTCCCACCTGCAACTAACGTGTATAATGATGAGGATGATGACTGGAGTGATTCCTACAGATGTTCTTGAGTCGGATTCTGACCATTCGTTGGTGTTACACAAATCAAAGAACGGAAGTGATCCGATGATGTATCATTTACGGTCTGGAGTGCCCATTTCTGCTGCGACATCTGAGGTGGCTCGGACATGTATGTATAGATGAGACCAAGATACCGATTGCACGCAGAGAACCGAAATAAGCCACGTTACTAGGATATGATCGACGCGAAGGTATCACGAACGAAGGTTGACTTCAGGTGCTCAGAAGAAGTGGCAATTGATCAAAGCCAATGGCGCGACCACATCAAGAATGTAATTGCCCAGGTGCGCAAGAGAATACTGTTGCAGCAGGAAGAAAATTCCCAGTTGTGGAAGCGACAAGCGCCGGTAGAGGTTAACTCATCTACATCATGAACCTGATGATGTAGTACTTGCGATCGTGTAGCCTCAGCCAATCCGAGCTGGTTGTTGATCAGCGTGGCCACAAGAGGTCACTATCGAAGAGATAACGGGTAAATGGAGTAAGTATCAATGCATGCTAAGTACGCTGCTCCCGGTTCCATTTAATAACCCAAGCCAATAATGTGGCAGACATATCAATCGTGCTACATCATCACTGCAGCTGGTCTGTAAATGTGCGACTATATTTTCTCGCCTGCTTGATAGCGTTTACTTAGTAAGAATCCAGATACAGCTGCGCCCGATGTGAACGTCCAACTAGGTGTCTACCTGTCGTTAACCGCCACCACGATTATGAACTCCAGGAGACTGCTGGTCGTCGCTGAGAAAGACGGAATTAAAAGGAAAAAGGGGGAGCAAACGATCCCATACTTGCCATTGCGTGATCAAACGAGAATACTCTAGCTGTGTCGGATCAAAATCAAGCACATGGCCGCCGCAAGGAGAGGTTGACGCAGAAGCGCGAACCGGAAAACCCAATGGATTATGGCATATTGAGATGGACTAAAAGGATCCATAATTCAGATGCTCGGGGCAGTATGTAAACAGAAAATCCGAGAGATCACGAGATTGTGTTAGGCAACCTGGTTTAAGTAGCTGCGAAAGCGCAAAACAGTTGTTTACCGTGAATCAGGTCATGAATGCGCACAAGATCCTCAACTGTGTTAACGCTGAAAGCTATGGAGCAGAAGCTTGCTGGCATCTAGCCAGCTACAACACAGGGAAACAAAAAGTGCGGTTTGACAAGTAAAACCAATTTGAAACATAGCAGGGTAAAACATATGCATGACATGCAGTGTCAGAAAGGAACAAGGTTTGAGGTCAACAAGAATGAGCGAGGAGGCGAGATTCGATATCCGACAAGGCCCATTGGTGGTCAACCATCTCCAAAGCTTCCCACTCGGCTTTAAATGCCTTTTGCATATCCTGTGGGGGCTGCGCTGCGGGTGCAGCATGATCCGCCATGAATAATGGCTGCTCCGCAGCATTGTCTGACCCCAACACAAGCCCGTACATACTCCTCAAACCGAAGATGTTCAAGAAGTACCATGAAGCAGAACTGACCCTAGGAAATTTCATATCAAATAAAGTGTGCTCACATACCAAGAAGCATCCAAAGAAGTCAAGGATTCACAGCCCCTTTGAAGCATGGGTTTGAACCTGTACGTAAGCGGAAAGGGGACCTTGGTCGTCAGAAAGCCAGAAAAAGCCCAATTGATCCAACTACCGATGACGATCATCGGAACCATGTTGACAGCATTCCCCTTCAACATTTCTGATACCATGGATGGATCTGCGGGTATGCTCAAGTTATCAAGGTAGTTACCAGTCATTGGGTTACCAACAGAATTCTCTCTTCTTTGATTCCGGAAAAAACCGGTTTCCTTGTCATTGAAAAAATGTTTGCGCATTTTAAAGGCCTTTGTAGAAGGTACAAAAGTCGGAAGTTAGCATACTCTAGTGGGGATATACTTTCCGTTTTCCCGCAGCAAACGACTTCTTAACAAGGCGTGACTGAAAAGAGATATAACCGTAAGAAAAGCTGAAATACCCATCACTGACACTTTCCAATCCGGCTTTCTTTTCACTTGCGAATATTATCGTCATGTAGTGCCGAATTATTCCAAACAGGAAAGTGATAATCACCAAAGGTAGAAAGACCCAAGACCGGATTGCAGGATCCAAAAATAACTCTGCCATGAAGTCGATGTGTTGGTAAAAGTTCTAGTGAAGCTGGAAGAACGGGAGAAACCCGCGAGGGTTCAGCGGATCGTTAGACCAGGGACCGAAAGAGTGATCCGGAGTATATGTGAGTTAAAAACATCCGCAACACACCCTGGCCAACCAATAACTGCTCACCTATCTCACAACAGTGTCTGCTGGGTCGATTACGTAGAGTAGGATAGAGAAAATGATAGAGCAGAAAGGGAGAACGTCTCTAAACTAATGGCAATATTGAGGCATGAGGAAGCTAAGAAAAGGGAAACCTGAAGATGGGAGTTGGGGAAAAGGAAATGTCCAATGCTACCACACAAGAGCGTCGAGCTGACACTTAAAACCATTGGCTGTATTTTCCTGACATGCTCCGGGAGATACTTCTAGCTTTCAAAATTTAGTGCCATAGAAGAGCACTGTTTGTGTAGCTTCACCGGCTGGTCGTGGAGACCAGACAAGTGAGCAGGATTGAACAGCTAACACAAGTCCGGGCCGATTTCCCGTTAGGATAAAATGAGGATAAATTTTATCCGAGTCAATTGATAGCATGTTGTGTATGCTTCAAAACTAACCGGTCGCTTGAGATAAGTCTGTCGTAGTAATCTCGGTGCGAACCCAATACCAATCTGGAGAACCCTATCTACTTATGTTATGTTCCATACCAGAAATGGTGGGTAAGCCTGAACGCAACAGTTTAGTTGAGGTTGCACGAAAGCTGAGAATTCGCGTAAATTTTAGTCGTTAAGACATCGGAGGAGTGAAGGGCTGAAGAGTGGAAAATATCTAGATTCACTTGCTGAGTGACAACAGGGATTCCGCTCACGGTAATAACATCCCTCGTTGAAAGACTAGGTGATCTAGTGTGGAGAAGGAAACACTGCCCGAATTCGAAGAGGGCTGGGAAAGTCCATCTGTTCATGCGGACACATTCACTTTCAACAGTAAAAAGTCGCGTTGAACTTCGGTGCCTGAAAATGAAGCCACACGACGTACGGCGATCACTTGTCGGTCAGGAAGTTAGTAATCCTGGCCAGTTAAATTGTTTTTCACAGTTCAGCCCAAAGGGTTTTGACAGGTTGTAGATAGGCCGTGACCTTTCGTCGCATAGTATTACGCTAAAACAAAATCTGCGCCCGATTCCGTAAAAGGCGGAATCGCTTTAATAGCTTTCCGAATAGCCTGCTGTGACGCCAGTTGGGCGGTTCAGGTTTCCCGTTAAGCAAATCGTTCGGCTGCAGTGTTCCAAGATGTAATAAGTTTTCGCTTGGCCAGTGTCCTCCCTATAAAAGCACTCAATGTCCTTTTAAGATCACCATAGTCATTGTCTCTTACCACCGTGGTGGAGCACTGAATTTCAGTAGCCTGGTATTGGAATGGTAGAGAGGGTTGGGCCCCTGTTTGGTAATCGACTAGGCGGAAGTGGTATGTAAGAAGTAATCGGTCACCGGCTCACAATGGATACGAGTTCCCTGAATACAAAAACAACGAGGCTAGAACTTAACGTGGTGCGATAACCTGCGTACCTACGTGACCCATTGAGTTGCGCTGAATCGTACTTTTCAAGTACCTTCAGAGCCACTCATAACAGACAGGTCAATGGTTACGAGTTAGAAGAAGCTAATCCCATAATTCTCCTCGGGAGTTAACATCATTATCATTATGCACATCAGCTAGAGGTGGAAAACACCTCAGCTATTGTGCCGTAATACATAAGAAAAAGAGGTATAATCGTGGCACGCCAGCTGAGTCGACAGTAACGGATGGGCACCGTTCCGGAAAGCAACCAGCCAATATGTGTCGCAAAAATATGTTATAGTATCATATAATATGCTAAGTAATGAACAATAATTTTATATGGGTTAAGAAGCACTGTTTTACAAGCCTCGCTGGGTACTCTGGTGGGGGTTACCGAAAAACATTAATGAAAAAAGTTGCAGTCGGTAGTTCTACTAGCAAAGGAATGGGAATATCGTATGTGCAGCAGCGCTGCACTCCGAGTGTTTCCATGGCCTCAAAAGACGAACAAATAAATCCAAGGTTTTCTCGGATGTAGGATGGACAGCAGTGTCAAGTGCGTCATCCAACCGACATTTAAATATGGCTAGCGTGAGTGCAGAAACAACTGCTTCGAGGAGAACGTTCCATGGGTAACATATGTGAATGGAAAAGAAATTTCTAGGACAGTCAAGACGGCTGTAGTGTATTGCTCATGAAAGGATTGTCCTGTTCTCCGAGCCGGGCATTTCTGTTGCAGTGGTTTCGTTAGCCAACTCCGTGCCAGTTCTTCCTACGTTCTCTGCAGGACCCGCCGTCGCTTCGGTGGTGTTCCGAGTGGCCTCCATCATGGCTCACTACTCCTGCCTGACTCAAGCACCCGCGACCGCATATGCGACAGCACCATGAGCTCGATGTCGACGCAGTACGACCCATTGGTGCGTTCCACTTCTTCTCTGCATGTATGAGGTCTTTCTCCCGCTCTGCCGTAACTGCCTTCCTGAACAGACTGCGCCATGCATGCCGATCAACCGCCATCGATCAAATCTCCACACTTCGCCAGATCCTCGAGCTCCGCCATGTGTATCAGAGGCCAACGATTGCTATGTTCCTGGATATGCGTGCAGCCTTCGATTCTGTCGATCGTACAGTACTGTGGCACTGCCTACTGAGGAATGGTGTCCCCGAAAAATTCGTCTCCATACTGCGTGCTCTATATAGTCTGACCCCGGGCAGGGTTAGGGCTTATGGCAAGCTTTCGCCTACCTTTGTGGTCTCCAGTGGAGTTCGACAAGGATACCCTATCTCTCCGTTCCTATTCAACTTTGCCATTGAGGATGCCTTGAAGAACGCTCTAGGCGATTCGTTGAACGCTGGCGTGGAGCTCCTCCCAGGTAGTCGAGTTGTTGATTTGGATTATGCTGATGATATCGTCTTGCTGGGTGACGATCCACACGTCGTCCAACTTGCATTAAACTGCTTGGGGATTGAAGCATCAAAGTACGGTATGTACTTGTCGCCATCCAAATGCAAGGCTCTCTTCCAAGACTGGCAGGTGCCTCTGTCTGCACTCACGCTTGCTGGTGAGACACTAGAGGTTGTGGAGAGCTTGGTCTACTTGGGAAGTTGCATCACTGCTGGCGGGTCTGTTAGAGACGAGATTTCGATGCGCATCTCGGGAGCAGGCCTCGGTTGTTCTAGGATGAGGCAAGTGTGACGTCGCCAAGACATACGTCTCTTCATCAAAGGGCGGGTCTATTGTGCAACTGTTCGTGCTATACTGTTGTACGGATGCGAGACCTGGCCAATTCGTAGAGAAAATTTACGCAGGCTATCCGTCTTCGAGCACTGCTGTCTGCGGTCCATTGACTGTGTGTGGTCGTGGCACCACGTAAGCAATTTGGAAGTTAGACAGTGTGTCTTGGGACGTGAAAGCCGCTCGCCCGAGGAGCTGGTCTCACTGCATCAATTGCGGTGGTTGGGACACGTATTGCATATGCCTGTCCAGCGTTACCCCCCGTCGTGCGTCGTTTGCACTTGCTGGACAGGGCTGGAAGAGACGGTCTGGTGGACAGCCTGCAACATGGAGAAGCCGCATGAAAAAGCTGACGAAACAGTTGGCCTCGGCCGGTTGTTGTCGACTACCTGGTTGGGGTCCGAGAGATACGGATACTTGCTGGTTGAAGACGTTGGAAGCCATGGCTCAAGATTGGTCTCAATGGCGAACGTGTGCATCGGTTTGTTGCGGTGTCCCCTCTTCCTCCACCTAAAAGAAGAACAAACTGAAAAAAATTTCAAAAACTGAGTGGTAAAATAGACAAAAATGCAGTTCTTGTTGCGCTTTTCTTATTATTCATATTGTTTTCCTATTCAGCCATGATTCCCATGGCACAATATCTGTACCACAGCTTGTGTATTATATATATATATATATACCAACTCTGGCCCTGAAAGAATTACTGCCAAAGTGTTTAATTTTAATGTTCAGTTCCTATACAACGGGGAAATATACCGACAGCGCGATGGAGTTACAATGGGTTCCCCGCTAGGACCATTCCTCCCTGATGTTTTCATGGGTATGTTGAACCAGGGTTAATTGAAAGCGGTCTTCAGTAGCCTCACATTATACCACCATTACGTAGATGACATCTTCATCCTACTTGACGCCTATGGTAACATCGAGGAGCTCATCAGTGTAGTTAACCAGGCTCACAAGGCTATACAATTCACCTACGATGTAGAAGAAAACGGCGCTTTTCCTTTTCTCGATGTAGCTCTAAAAAGACTTGATGGTGGGGCAGTACAACGTAGCGTTTGCCGAAAGTGCACTTGGAGTAGACAGTACACAAACTTTCATGGCTTTGTGCCACTTCGGATTAAGAGGAACCTGGTCTTCAGTCTTTCTAACCGGGCCGAAAGAATCTGCTCGAATGATACTCTTTTCGAAGAGTATCAGCTCATATGATCGAATGGCTACCCAGAGAATTTTATTAATGCCGATATGGGGCGAAACAGGGAGGCACCTAAGGTCCTGACTGCGGGACAGAAACCTATTTTCCTGCAACTGCCTTACAAAAGCGAAATAACACCAGAGTATGTATCCTGCCGTTTATCGTCTACACTCAGGAGTACCTTCCTAGCGGCGAGTCTGCAAATCCGGTTCACCAGCAGCCCAATTGTGAGACTAAACCTCAAAGAATCCTACATGTCCACACCAAATCAATGTGAGTTTACTCCTTCACCTGTTCCTGTGGAGCAGGCTACGTTAGTCGCACGACAAGACACTTATCCGAAAGGGTGAGGGAACACCATGCGACCTGGCTCGGAAAAGGAGGCCAAAAAGCCACCAATTCTGCCATCGCACATTTTGCGGATACGGGCCACGCCGCCAAGTCGGTTGATTCGTTCAAAGTAATCTATCAGGCCCCAGAAAATCGATCAAAGTATTTCCGTAAGCGGATATTAGACACCTGCAGAAGCCATCGTCATCCGGTTGTACAAACCAGTGCTGTGCACGCAGAAATG